AAATACAATCTCCAAATTCATACAATTTATTTTACAAGTGCAAATGATAATAGGTTTGAAACTTTTGAATAGTAGATTGTAGTACTTCTCAATTCAAAAATCCGAAGAGAAACATCAATAAATCTTTTTTCCCCAGCAAAAGTGACAAACCAACAACTATCGAAGTGAGGCTACAAAAATGAGAAAAAACCTTATCAGTTGCGTTGAAGCCACGGAGTCAATCACCATCAAAACGACGTCCGGATTATTTTTGGGATTGAGATGAGTCTCTGTTGTTGGCCTGAATCGCTTTTGTTAGCATTTTTAGACTGGAGCGAGGCTGTTAAGTCGCGTTCATAGATTGCGGTTTGGGAGATAGGATAGTAGGCGATCGGATATTAGGATAGGAGTAGAGTAGGATATTGCGCTGACAAGATTGGATACGTATCGACTAACAGCTGGAAAGTAGAAGGTAAGGCGTATTTCAACCAATAAGTGTCTAATCTTATCAGCGCACTATCCTATCTACTACTATCCTAATCTCCTACTCTACTACTATCCTACTATCGTAATATCGCAATCTACTACTCTCCGGCGATTTCAATCGATACGTATCTAATGTCAGCGCAATCTCCTACTCTACTACTATCCTAATCTACTACTATCCTAATCTCCCCGTCAATACATATATTTTTCATTGTCGCGTACTATCCTGAGCTCCGGTGTCGAGAACTATGAATGAGGCCTTTACGAATGAGGCCAAGAGTGTTTCTAAACGTCAACTGTGCATGCGAATGCTTCCACTCTATGAAGGAGTGTTGGATGTACGGCGCATCATGAAAAGATCGGAGACTCTCTTTTTCATCCTGAGAATGTAAAAAAGAGCAGCGCTGCTGCAAGATGCGAGGTCATGTCGTAAGGTGACCCTAGGATGGACAGGAATCCAATGGGAAACGGCAATTGTTGACTCCTTCTCAATTCTCTCCCCCTTCTTCAGGCTTATTGTTAAGTCCCTTACTACGAAAATAGCTATTTGGCGCGGTCTGATTGTGTTGCCATCCCTATGACCCCATGTCTTGTGATAGCTCGTGAAAAAAAATTCTGCTTACTTCTGCTCCGCTATTTGCATATGAATATATCGTTTAGTCTGATTTTTCAATTTGCATTCCGTTTCGACGAAGTCACATTTGAACAATGCGTTATTGATTGCTGTCCAATTGGTCATCTTGTACGAGTTGTCACCATCATATTCGATACAGCTGAATAAAAAACATGTGAATGTACATGAGAAGTAATCTCAATTGGTAGCATCGGTATGTCTCACTTGGACTAGCACCATGAGTGACTTCATTTTATGTTTCAGTTGACAGGTCACAGAAAAGCAACATTGAAGCATGCCCCGGGGTCAAACTGGTGTGACTCTTACTCACAAAATGAAATTTGGCGAAATGGGTCAGCAGTAAGGAAAAAAGGACTCGGTGAAAAACGTTCGAGCAAGTGTTCACCTTCGTAATGCGACTGTGTTAAGGCAGTGGGAGACTGAGAGCAGAGAGAGGCAAGAGAGCGCAACAGATGGGAGACTGTCAGACAAAGGCCACCGCAGACGGAAACTGAAGCGCTTGAAGCGGCCTTGCAAGGCTTGAGCGCCCTTACGGGGCGGTATTCATGCAAAGCATTGCCACAACTATGATTGTTCAATACAGTGCGCGTCAAATGTATATGCCACCCCTGATTTTTCAGTTTTCTGACTTATTTGGAAATTTCGTAAATCGGCATAGCAACCATCGTTTTCGGCGTGTCGGAAAACTAAGAATGGTGTTGTTTGATTATGATTAACGCGTTGATTAAATTGCTCTGTTCTTTTGAAGAAAATGGGCCGCGTCAATTGCTTATGCCATCCTAAAAGTTTCTTCAGAATTTCTCATGTCTCTAACGCTATTCAGCTACGGTGTGCATGCAGTACAAATGAGAAAATCCTCCACTTATGCAATGCACACAAATGGTGGAGCATTTATAACTAATTAGTTCGGAATATTAGCCCTAATACTGGACGGTAGCAGCATGAAAACGCTTTATCAGAGAAAGTGCTGTGTGCTCACTCTTATTCTTTCTGAACAGAGAATTGGTGGGCGTGAACGCGAACGCTTCGAGCTTCGCGGGAGCCGCGACTAGTACAAGTAAAGTTGACCACGGATTCGAAGCGTGAAAAAGTGAAGTTAAGGGCTCCATATTCTAATATTTTTTTTAGGTTCTAATATTCCGAATCAATTAGTTATAAATGCTCCACCCATTTGCAAGCATTGCATAAGTGGAGGATTTTCTCATTTGTACTGCATGTACACCGCAGCTGAATAGCGTTAGAGACATGAGAAATTCTAAAAAAAAAACTTAGGATGGCATAAGCAATTGACGCGGCCCATTTTCTTCAAAAGAACAGAGCAATTCAAATCAACGCGTTAACCAAAATCAAACAACACCGTTCTTAGTTTTCCGACACGCCGAAAACGATGGTTGCTATGCCGATTTACGAAATTTCCAAATAAGTCAGAAAACTGAAAAAATCAGGGGGTGGCATATACAATTGACGCGCACTGTAGAGTATATTCCTACAGATCTATCGGGCGACTGCATCTTGCGATTTCTTCCCGGCTTGTTGCTTCCAAGGAGACTGTCCCACCCTTTTAGAGATCGTCGTCTTCAAAGACCGACTGCCCCATCGGGTAAGAGGAGTGGTCCACTGCCACACTACGCGTTGGTAAGTACTGACAAATAAAAGGAGTGTAACTGAAAAATCGTGATCCCAATTCAGAACTGATTGGCGCTCTAGAGTCCGCGGATAGGTACGTTCTAATGATAGAGTGAACACGACGATTCAACAAACTGAACCTCGGGCCATAGAAAAAATCTTCTCCCTGTTGATGTGTAAAGCGCAAGGAATTTAATAAAAAAAATATGAAAATTGCAACACGTGCAAAAGAAACATGGGGCTATTGATGGTCGTTCAAAACTGTGGTGTATGTATCCTGAGAGCCCAAATTTTTCACTAGAATGTGTTACAGGGCTTCAAATAAAATATTACGCATGACTTGTATGTTATGCGATATGTTTATTGAAGACTAGTTACGAAGTTATTACGAAAGCCTTTCCACATTGGGATATTGGCTGTGAACTCACACAAAGGTACGGGCGGCGATCGAACTGATGTGTTGTTTTGTTTGAATATCAGACGGGAAGTGCTAAGAGGAGTATCTTCGTGAAAAAGAAAAAAGCCTCATAGAAAACTGGAATTTCGTTCGTGAGGTCGACCGTGGCATGACTGAGAGACATAGCGTTGCGAGGATAGAGAAAACGCGAGAGAGCACATCGTACGCGAGAGGGCGCAAACGGCGCGCACTCCGCGATTCAAGAATGGCAGCGGTCGCAGCGGTCAAGCTAAGGCATTAGCTCCCTTGTCGCGCACTTCCAAGTCGCGACGGTTCTATTGCCCTTGTGATTAGGGTTCCTGCTACCTCATTCGAGCAACGAATTCCTCTATAAATCTAATCGAAACCCGTGCATTGAAGGGAATCGGCAGCGTTCGATGTTTCACATTCGAGCACCATCCTCCATCCCCCCACCCGACTCTCCTCTCCCCTCGCAAACACCTAATGCTGCTATGGATGGCTTTCTTGTGGTGGTGAGATTCAGTATAAAAAAGACGCACTGAGCAATACGATCAATCTTCGCATTACAAAACAGTGCCTTCGAAGGCAAGGCATTGATGTGGTAATCCCATTCAAATATGAAAGTCGTGAAGGGAGGTAGACTGCAGATGGAGAAGCAAAGAAAATCGTGAACACGCGGAAAATGTTTTTTTGCTCTACTCCGCAGAGAAGTTCAAGAAGCAATCATGAAAATGAGAGATGTGAGTCGCGGAGAGGGAAAGAAAAGTCCAAGTAGAGAGAGCATAACAGATCAACATTGCGAGCAGGTAAGATATCAAATGGTGGGCGGATCCTGGCAGTTTTGGTCAGGCTCGATCAAAGTCCTTAGCGCTTGGCGTCTTGAAGACAGAAGATCATAAGTTCACGGAACATAGGCTGTATACCGTAACCCTCTCGACGTTGCACTGGGGCGCGCAATGTCACGTGTCATCGATTTTCCATGTGTGCTCGGCACCCACTTATCGTTTTCTCTGCGTTCTCTCAACGAAGAGAGAATGCGTCGAGCAAACTCGCCAACTATACTAAGCGCAGTTGATGAAGAACGCGGAGGATAGGGCGCACGAAGGTTAGGCTGCTTTCATAGTTCGCATCGGTGCGGTCGGTGCCGACGGTGCCGACGGCGCCGACGGCGCCGACCGCACCGACAGTGTGAAGAGCGTCAATACGCGCTCTGGCGCATGACGCGTACGTTGGGCGCAGATCGCGTGCTCCGATCGATAATCCTGGTTTTGGTGTATTTCTTGTGCTTTTCGATGTTTTTTTTTCGCGCCGTGTTGCTTTAATTCGTGTGTTTCCTGTTCATACTTATTCTTTTATGGGCGCAATGTGGCTCGGGGGGGGGGGAAGTCGGTGCGCGGCTCAGCGATGTAGTGTAACTCGAACATTCCAGCTTTTCACGGGACATTTCAGCTTCTCACGCATGCTAAGTGACTGCCCTCCCCCCCCCCCTGAA